CAAGAGCTATTTGGCCTCTGAGAGCAAAAGTTCAGCCACTAAGGAAGGACCTGGTGGTGTCCAATGTAGGCCTTTAGATCACCTCTGGAGCTTCTCTCCAGGGCCTAAGAAGTGACCCTGCCAGGACGCCATCTGTTTCAACCCTATTTTTTTTTCTTCTTTCTGCCTTGGCAATCTTCTTTTTCTCTTTTTCTTCCTTTTTCTCTTCTCTCCTTTCTAGTGTTCTGATGTTTTAGGATCAAATCAATGAAAAAGAATAGAAACCGTTTCAACTCAGAAAATAATCCAAAGATGGAAAAGGGTGTGTACCAAGTTCACTGCTCTAATCATTTCTGTTCTGATAAAAGGAGTTTACAGCAAAGAAATAACTTTTCTGGGTTCTGAGGCTTTGGAAAAACAAGGCATCGAGAAGCCTGGGGGCTGTGGGGGTGTGGCGGGCAGCCTACTGCTTGTTGAGGTAATGCAAACTAAGGAGAAAGAGGCGTTGGCTTCCTCTGAGGCCAGGGCGTTTCAGGCTGCAGGTAAACTATGGATGTGGTTCCACAGATGTTGCCACAAGGGGAAGCCAAAATCTCACAGCTAACAGAGGTCACAGCTTTTGGAAACAGTGGTTGCGACACAGGGGAAACTCCCCCTCCCAGCCCTACCTCAAGCACATCCTTGCTTCTCTCAGTCACACCAGTTACACCAACAAGGGCAGTACTGGGGAGGACATTTGGAAAATAGTCAAGAGAGGATGAAACCGCTGGCGTGATGTCACCAACAAGAGGCTACAACCTGGGAAAATCTAACAGGAAAAAGGTAGTTGAGCCAGGAAAAGCCACCAGACCCTTTCTCTTGGCTTGAGGCAACATTTACATTTGAATAATAATCAAATTAACAATGTAATGTGACTGTTCAGCAACAACGATGTGCTAATCATGATTTTACATGGCTTATCTTTAGTCATTAAATTCTCTACATCCTAGAGATGCAAAAATTGAGAACGAGAGAGGTTATGAGAGCTTTGAAAGGCCACAGAGCGTGTGTTGTCGCTGAGATTCAAGCCCAGCTTTACTGATGTTAAAGCTTGTCTTCTCTTTCCCTACCTTGCTTCCTTTTTTTTTTTCAATTTTCTTTCTTGCTTCATGTGCTTTCTTTTTTTTTAAGAAATAAAATGATAATCCCTTTGTGTCTCCACTGCCTGCCACGCCCCACCCGCCTGCCATCCTTGCCAGCAGCAGCCTCTCAGTTGAGGTTAGAGTTTCCCTCCCACCCTTCATCGCGCATGTTCATGGCTATAAACAATAAGTATGCACGTTTTAGAAATTTATGTATATGAGAAAGAGCTTAAAGTATGAATTTACAGAGGAAAAAAATGCAAATGGCTATTAACCATCAGAAAACATTCACCACCTCATTCATTAAAAAAAGAGTACTAAAAATTCAAACCACATCGAAGCTGGGTGCAGTGGTGCATTCCTGTAGCCCTAGCTACTTAGGAGGCTGAGGTGGGAGGATGACTTGAGCCCGGGAGTTAGAGGCCAGCCTGGGCAACATAGTGAGACTCCGTTTCTACAACAACAACAACAAAATTTTTAAAATAATCACTAAAAAACCCCCTTCACATTGAGATAACATTTCAAACATCTGTCAAATCGGTCCATACCCAAGATTTGATAACAGTGTATAGAAGGGGCTGAGGGAAAAGAGGCACTTAAACTTTGATTGTGGGTAAGTAAACTGGTATAATCTCTGTAGAGGGCAATTTGACAATATATATGAAAAATGCAAATACACAAGTCTAGGTGTGGTGGCTTATGCCTATAGTCCTAGCACTTTTGGGAGGCTGAGGTGGGAGGATTGATTGAATCCAGGAGTTTGAGCCTGCAATGACCTATGATTGATCCACCGCACTCTAGCCTTAGCAACAGAGTGAGAACCTGCCTCTAAAAAAAAAAAAAAAAAAAAAAAAAGCAAATGCACAAAATTATAAAAGAAATCCCATTTCTTATGATTTATCTATAGATAAGTATATGTTTATACATGTTCAAAAGTGCATGTGTTCAAGGTTATTCATTGCAGTATTGCTTGTAATAAAAAGACCAGAAACAGTCCACATATTCATTAACAGGGAGTGATAAAGTAAGTATGGTGCATCCTTGTAATGGAATCGTATGAAGGCACTATCTGTACTAATATGGAAAGTTTTCAAATACATATCAAGTGGAAAGAAAAGCAAGGTGCAGAAGAATATGAATAGCATGCTATCTTTTGTGCTAATGAAGGGGAAAATAAGCCTATGTATTAATTTTTGTTTGCATGTGCACAAAGAAACTGAAAGTTTACATGCAAAACCTAATAGCAGTTTTGCATGTGGGATGTGGAAAGAGGGGTGGGATGAGGTATGGGAGAAGACTTTTAAATATATTTCTTTTTTTTTTTTTTTTTTTGAGACAGAGTCTTGCTCTGTCACCCAGGCTGGAGTGCAGTGGCCGGATCTCAGCTCACTGCAAGCTCCGCCTCCCGGGTTTACGCCATTCTCCTGCCTCAGCCTCCCGAGTAGCTGGGACTACAGGCGCCGGCCACCTCGCCCGGCTATTTTTTTGTACTTTTTAGTAGAGACGGGGTTTCACCGTGTTAGCCGGGATCGTCTCTCGATCTCCTGACCTCGTGATCCGCCCATCTCGGCCTCCCAAAGTGCTGGGATTACAGGCTTGAGCCACCGCGCCCGGCCTTAAATATATTTCTTAATTTTTTTTGAGATAGCCAATGTGGATGGACTATGTTACCTATTCCAAAAATTAAATTAAAAAGTTAAAGTGGTTTTATGCAATACAAGTCATTCTGTAATTAACCTTTTGCAATCAGGTTTATCTTTTTTTTTTTTTTTTTTTTTTTGAGACAGAGTCTTGCTCTGTCACCCAGGCTAGGGGGCAGTGGCACCATCTCAGCTCACTGCAAGCTCTGCCTCCCAGGTTCACACCATTCTCCTGCCTCAGCCTCCCAAGTAGCTGGGACTACAGGCACCCGCCACCACGCCCCGCTAAATTTTTGTATTTTTGTAGAGACGGGGTTTCACCGTGTTAGCCAGGATGATCTCCATCTCCTGATCTCATGATTCACCTGCCTCACCCTCCCAAAGGTTTATCTTTTTGAATTTCTATCCATGTGGTTGTGCCCTTGATTTTTCCATTATTTATGCTGCCTTGAACTGTAGAATTTTACAGCTGGAAAAGCTCTTGGAGAACACCCAGTTTCCAGCTTTCATATTACAGGAAAGAAAAATGAAGGTGCATCAGTGGCGAGTAATTACTGAGAGTAGCTTTGCAAGTCAATGGCAGAATTGGGGTTTGGCCTCAGATCTGACTCTGATTCAGAGTCTGGGAGTGCCTTTCTCCACCCCACCCCAACCAGTGCCAAAGCCATCTGCCGAGTCTTAAGAAGAGATTGGTATCTTTACATGTTATCCTTTCCTAGGCACATTTGCATTCAAAAACAAAACAAAGATAACAACAGACAACAAAACCCAGCGGTCACTGTTTTATGCAGTAGTGATTGTTCAGACCTCAGAAGTCAGGGAGATGCTTTGGGATGAGGAATAGGGAGTGGGATGGTAATAGTGCTTGGGCCGGTAGTCAGGGACACGGAAAACCTTCTAATATCTCCATTCCCCTACAAAATACATAAATCATTTAAAGGAAAAGAAAAAGGCAAATAAAAAACAAAACAACGAGGTTATCACTAGCTCATCCATATAAAGATTGTTTCTGTTTTCAGCTCAGGAAGAACTAATTTGAATTTTATATTAGTGATGCCATTGCTGTGAATATTATCAATGTAACTAGATCTTATTAGACTTTTTGTTGCCATAGTGATAGTACAGGCACTAATAAGTCACAGTGTATGAAACCTCTGCCGGCAGAGTCATCTGGTATATCCCTCCACCTACATGCAGAACTCCTCTAAGCCGTTCTAACAGGTAAAGACCTTTCAGGATTTATGTTAATAAATGCCAGCGTTTCTGGAGTTCTTATAGTCAAGCACTGTGCCAGAGTGGCAAGAATACAAAGACTCAGAAGAAATGCACTTCCGAGATGGCCAAGTTCCTAGGCAGATAAAAAGGGGTCCCCGGAGAATCTCCGACTGGCCTGCGCACTGGGAAAACGGGGTGGAGCCAGGGGAAGTTCACACCCTTCGCAGGAGGGAGGAACCTGGCCTATTCAGTTTCTGTGTGGTGGCATCGTGTTCAGTCTGTGAGATGGGAGCCCACTGGCAGGATCCCTTCTTGCTTTGTTGAGAGTTTCTTTTTTTTTTTTTTTTCCTTTTTGCCCAATAAATTCCTCTTTAAGCACCCTTCAGTGTGTCTGTGCGCCTCATCCTTCCTGGTTGTGTGACAAGAACCTGGTGTTAGTTGAACTAAGAAGCAAAATTCTGCAACACTTCCATCATAAATTAAATAGCATACATGGGTGTTTTCTAAAATTTTATACAAAAATGTTTCATTTACTTATTTATTACTATGATTATTATTTTTGAGACAGAAGTCTCCCTCTTGTACGCCAGGCTGGAGTGCAATGACGTGATCTCAGCTCACTGCAACCTCTGCCTCCCAGGTTCAAGCGATTCTCCTGCCTCAGCCTCCCCAGTAGCTGGGATTACAGGCGCCCGCCAACACAACCGGCTAACTTGTATTTTTAGTAGAGATGGGGTTTCACCATGTTGGCCAGGCTGGTCTGAAACTCCTGACCTCAGGTGATCCATGCCTGCCTTGGCCTCCCAAAGTTCTGGGATTACAGGTGTGCGCCACCGCGCCTGGCTAACAAAAATATTTTTAACAGTAAAGGAATAGAAACAATGTGTAGAGACCTCCCCATGCTTGAAATTTTGGTCACATTTGGAATTTTAACTCATAATTTCATTCAAAATATTGGATTCTACTCCATAATATAAATGTGTTTGCTTTAATGTCTATTAAATGTCTTACATGTATAGTCTGTTAACTATTTTTTTCTTCCTAGTCTTCTAGTAAAATTGATGCTCCAAGAAGATACACAACGTTGACCATGTGGATTCAGATATCTCCTGCTTGGATCTCAGCCTGGATCTTGTTTGAGAAGCATAGATTAGCTGCAGGTTGGTAAACTTTTTTGTAAGGGCCAGATAGTAAATATTTAAACACTATATGAGCCACACTGTTCCCGGACAGAACGAGGTCCTGCTGCCTGTTCTTGCACTCCAATAACGAGATGCTGACAGACTGGGAAAGAAGGGAGTTTATTTCTGCAACTGGTTACAGGGAGAAGGTCAGAGTAACTCACCAGACCAACTCAAAATTAGAGGTTTTTCTCCAGTGTTTATGTTACTGGAAGGAGGTCCCAATCCAGACCCCAAGAGAGGGTTCTTGGATTTCATAGAAGAAGGAATTTGAGGCGAATCCAAAGGGCAAAGTAAAAGCAAGTTTATTAAGAAAGTAAAGGAATAAAGAATGGCTACTCCATAAGTAGAGCAGCCCCGAGGGCGGCTGGTTGCCCATTTTTATAGTTATTTCTTGATGACTTGCTAAACAAGGGATAGATTATTCATGCCTCCCCATTTTAGACCATGTAGGGTAATGTCCTGATGTTGCCATGGTGTTTGTAAACTGTCCTGGTGCTGGTGGGAGTGTAGCAGTGAGGACGACCAGAGGTCACTCACATTGCCATCTGGGTTTTGGTGGGTTTGGGCTGGCTTCTTTACTGCAGCCTGTTTTATCGGCAAGGTCTTGATGACCTATATCTTCTGCGGATCTCCTATCTTATCCTGTGACTAAGAATGCCTTAACCTCCTGGGAGTGCAGCACAGCAGGCCTTCGACTCATTTTATCTAGTCCCTATTCAAGATGGAGGTGCTCTGGCTTAAATGCCTCTGATATGCCTACATGTGGGGCCTGGGGTCTGGAAAATTACTTCAGAGGCTTGGAACAATTACTTAATCTAAAGTAGGTCATGGCACAAGGTGTGCAAGAACACCTCCATTATTTTAATTAAACTCTAAGGTCTGAGAAAGCCCAGGTGGAGTCTTAATGGACTTGTTTTTACATTCTAACCTTTGTACTAAGGCGCCAGTTTCTCCAGTTCTTTAATGTTTTACGTATCTGTTCATCAGAATGACAATAAGGTATTGGTGAAGGCTAACTGCTCTGGTGGCTAATGGAGACCTGGCCTGACACAACACTGTTTCTGTTACATGCCCTCAACCCAGCCATTATAGCAAAAAAAAGCCCAGAGATAATATGTAAATGAATTGGCATGGGTGTGTTCCCGTAAACTTTGCTTATAAAAACAAACAGATTTGGCCAACGGCCTGCATTTGGCCTGTAGGCTGTAGTTTACCAATCCCTGGATTAGAAAATGCCCCAAGAATTTATAAAAGGGAAGTTTTTGGCCAGGTACGGTGGCTCATGCCTGTAATCCCAGCACTTTGGGAGGCTGAGGTGGGAAGATCATGAGGTCAGCAGATGGAGACCATCCTGGCCAACATGGTGAAACCCTGTTTCTACTAAAAATATAAAAGTTAGCTAGGTGTGGGGGCGCACGCCAGTAATCCCAGCTACTTGGGAGGCTGAGGCAGGAGAACGGCTTGAACACGGGAGGCAGAGATTGCAGTGAGCCGAGATCACACCACTGCACTCCAGCCTGGTGACAGAGCGAGACTCCATCTAAAACTAATAATAATTTTTAAAAGGCAAGTTTTTTTCAGCTGGAAAAAATAAGTGTGGAAGTGGAAATTCTATTGGTTATTGAAGGCTGCATAGTATTTCAAACAGCAGAGAGGAAATGTCAGCATTATTGGTAGAGAACCAGTATAAGCAAAGGCAGATGTCTTGAGGCTTATTTGTAGATGGGACTGGGGGACAGGGAGGACAGTAAATAGATCAGTTTGACTGAAGGAAGGAACTCATGTCAAAGAGAAACATTCTAAATCATCAGGACTAGAAAAGACTTTGCTGATTATTTGCTTTTCATTGTACAGATGGGGAAACTAATGTGGGCGATTTCAGATCTGGAAAGAGAATAGAGTGGCATGCTTCGAATCCTGTCTTAGTTCATTTTGTGCTGCTATTACAGCATGCGTGAGATGGGTATTTATAATGAACAGAAATGTGTTGGCTCTTTTCTGGAGGTCGGGAAGTCCCTGTTTGAGGGGCAACATCTGGCAACGGCCTTTTTGCTGCATCATCCCAAGGTGGAAGGGCAAAGAGAGGGAGGGAGAGAAAGAAAAGTGGACCAAACTTACCCTTTTATGGCAAACACATTCCTGTGATAATGGCATTAATCTGTTCATGAAAGGTGGATCCCTCATGGCCCAATCATCTCTCATTAGGCCCCGCCTCCCAATACTGTTACATTGGAGATTAAGTTTCCAACAAATAAATTTTGGAGGGCATATTTAGACCATGGCATTCTGTACCTGGCCCCCAAAACTCATGTCCTTTTCACATGCAAACTACATTCATTCCATTCCAATAGCCCCAACATCTTAACTGTTTCAGCACCAATTTAAAAGTTTAAAGTTTAGAGTCTCATTTAAATTTGATATGGGTGAGACTCAAGGCATAATTTATCCTGAGTTAAAACCGCACCAACTGTCAGCCTGTGAAATCAAACAGATTATCTACTTCCAAAATATATTAGTTGAACAGGTATAAGATAGACATCCCCTTTCCAAATGGAAGAAATAGGAAAGAAGAATGGAGAAACAAGTCCCAGGCAAGTTCAAAACCCAATAAGGTGAATAATACTGAATCCTAAGGCTTAAGAATAGTATTTTTGGACTCAGTGTCCTACCTTTGGGTATAGTAGGATGGGGGTTGGTCCCTCAATGCCTTGGGCAGCCCTGCCCATATGGCTTTATGGGTGGTTAGGGAGAGCTAGGCCTGTGCAGCAGCTCTCAGGAGTTGAAATCTCATGCCTGCAGCTCCTCCAGGCTGTTACCTCATGGTGGTGACTCTACAGTTCTGGGGTCTTGGGAATGGCCTTACCCTCATGGCTCCACAAGGACTAGTAGGGACTTTCTACAGCAGCTCTGATCCCATTGCCCCAGTGGGGGCTGTCTGCAGTGACTCTGCCCATGAGAAAAGTTCTGCCTGGGCCTCCAGGCTATCTGAGACATCTTTTGAAATCTAGGTAGAAGAAGCCATGTTCCCACAACTCTTGCATTCTGTGTACCTGCAGACTTAACACCACATGGATACTGCTAAGATTTGCCACCTGGGATGCTGTGCCAGAATTCAGAGAGTGGAGACTTGACCTGGCCTGGAGCCAAGGCCCCGTGGATGCCCTAGGCCTCTCTTTTGATGTATTTTCTTTTCCCTGACCTTGTCATTCTGAGCCTGCAATAGGAAGGTCTGCATCAGTAATCTCTCATGTGCCGTTGGGGTCCTTCTCCCCTTATCCTGATAAATAACCTCCAGCTTTATTCTATCCATGCTAATCTCCTTATCAAATAGTCCCTTGGCCACACCCTTGGTTTCCTAAAACATTTTTTTCTCTTAAAAAAAAAAAAAGCTTCTTTTATTCTCTACTATATAGCCAGTCTGAGAGTCCTCCAAATCTCTGTTTCTCTTTTAATTTTAAATTCTGTCTTTAAATGATTTCTTTTTCTTGCATTTTACTTTATGCAGTTAAGAGAAGCCATGCTGCTCCTTCAGTATTTTGCTTAGATATTTCTTCCACCAGATACCCTAGTTCATTGCTCTTAAATTCTGCCTTCCGTAAAGCTCTTGAGCACGCACATAATTCAGCCAAGTTCTTTGCCACTTCACAACAAGGATGGCCATGACTTCAGTTTTCAATAAAGTATTCTTCAATTTCCATCTGAGGCCCAATCAGTATGACCTTTACTGCTCATATATTTATGAACGTTCTGATTATGATCACTTAAGTAAAGTTTCAGACTTCCTCTACAGCTCTCCTCTTCTTTTGAGGCCTTACCAGCATCATCCTCAAGGTCCATTTATAGTAATTTTGGCATTTTGTAGCCTGCTCCTCCAAAGTCTTTCAGCTTCTGTTCAATTGCATAATTCTGAAGCTGCTTCCACATTTTCAGGTGTTTGTTACAGTAACAGTTCCACCTCTTATTGCCAATTTTCTTTCTTAGTCTGTTTTGTGCTGCTGTAACAGAATACCACAGACTGGGTAATTTATAATAAACATAAATCAGTCAGCTCATGGTTCTGGAGGCTGGAAAGTCCAAGATCGAGGGGCTGCACGTAGTGAGGGTCTTGCTGCATTTTCCTATGGCGGAAGAGCAGAGAGAGAGAGCAAGAGAGAGAGAGAGAGAGAGAGGTAAGGGGACCAAAGGTACCCTTTTATAAAGAACCCACTCCTGCAATAAACGCATTAATTCATTCATGAGAGTATTGCTCTCATGGTCTACTCACTTCTCATTAAGCTCCACCTCCTAACACTGTTGAGCTGGGTATTAAATTTCCAGTGCATGCTTTTTCGGGGACACATTCAAACTATAGCAAATACTAAGTTAAAGAAGTTTCAGCTCTGTTGGGCAGCCTCATAATATTTCAACACTTCATCATTTGAATGCTTATTAATTAACCAACTTCCTGTATGCCATGTGATCAGATGTCACAAGAGGAGTTCCTTTGGGATGAAGTTAGTTCTTTGTGCACCATTGTGACGTAGCACTGTAGTGATGGTGACAAAACACATCTGGAGTAGGCAACTAGACAAGTGCCAAGTATTAGAAGCCTTAGCATCTCAATCTGCCACCAACTTGCTCTGCAAGCCCAGACCAAACCCTGAACTTGCCTCTGGCTTTCTCTTTGGTTAAACAAGAAACATTTATTTTCATCTCTCCATCAGAAGCAGTGGCCTGCTCCTCTCTCCCTTCTCTGCTTTTGTTCTCCACCAACACTGAAGTCATAAAAGACTAGAGGGAGCTGGAGTGTGAGGTCCAGAAACTTGTATGACCCAGGTATTCATTTATTGATTTTTTTTCTCAATTAATTAGTGAGCATTTGCCATGTAACAAGTGCTGAGGATAAAGTGAGCAAGGCAAGCAGGCTTCTGCCCTCACAAAGCTCATATTCTAGTCCTGCATATGTGTGTTGGTGGGAGAAATGTAAACAATATACAAGTAAACAAATGAAAGAATTTCAGATGGAGATAAGTGCTACGAACAAAGTAGAACAAATTATTGTGATAGTGACTAGAGGGGTGTCTGTGGCTATTCTAGTGAAGGAAAACCTCTTTGAGGAGAGACCTGGAGAAGAGCCAAAGAAGAAGCACTCCAGCTAGAGAACCCTGAGTATGCTGTGCTGGGGATACAGAGAGAAGACCTGTTGACTTGACTGTGGGTTAGTAGTCAAGGGGAAATGCATGGTAGACAAAGAGAAAGAGGTAGACAACATGAAGAAATTGATGAGTTTTAATCTGGTCAATTGAGTGACTTAGTATAGTTTCTATTTTTAAAAGAGCGTTCAAGCTGTTACCTGTAGAATGGTTTGAAAGGGATAAGAGTAGAACAGGTAAGATGATAGGCAAAATTGTCAGGCACAGTGGCTTGTGAATATAATCTCAGCTACTTGGGAGGCCGAGGCAGGAGGATCACTTTTTGCCAGGAGTTCAAGATGAGCCTGAGCAACACAGCAAGACTCTGTCTCTAAAAAAACACACACAAAAATAGCCAAATGTGGTGGCACGTGCCTTTCATCCCAGCTACTCAGGAAACTGAGGTGGGAGGATCACTTGAACCTAGAAGTTCAAGGCTTCATTGAGCTATGATCACACCACTGCACCCCTGCCTGGGTGACAGAGTGGAGACTGAGAGAAGTGGCTGGATTCGGGATCTGTTCTGGAAGCAGAAGAAACAGGACCTGTTGAGGGACTGGATGTGATGTCCTTGGTAGTGATGGCAAAATGAAAGCAGAAATCAAGGATGGCTTCTTAAGCTGGAGCTGGAACAACCAGGTTGACGGTGGTGCCTTTTTTTTTTTTTTTGAGCGGAATGTTGAGAGATGAACAGTTTGAGTGGGAGGTGTGGTAAGTTGGTAGGTCTTTCGTGGGTGTGCTAAATTGGAGATGCCTCTGAGACTCCAGGTAAGGATATGCAGTCAGCATGTGGAAGTACTTTTCTTTGGTGTCTCCAGTCTTAAAGAATTAGCATTCTCTCTAACACTCATATAATAATCCCAGCCTTGATTTGTTTGACCACGTGTTTTATAATATCCCCCCGACCCCCGGAATTTCTGGGACTCCTTGGAGATATATTGATTCCATGGGATCCATCCTAGTTTCTACATTTCACATCTCCCAGCCATCCTGCCCCCACCTCTGCTCAACCCCTTGCCACTACCTGTCTCCCTCTGCCCACCTACTTGGCCCCACGTGGTCATCTTTAAGGGACTGACACATGTTGTCATATCAGTCTTTTCAGAGATTAAGCCATTTGCATTCCTGTTAGCAGAGCAGGATGTGTCCATTTGGCCACATTTTAACCAATTTCAAGCACCATTATTAGCCAGTTAGATAGACGGTAACACATTTCCATTTGCATTGCAAAGATATGCTCGTAAACAGCGGAGTATTCTATGTCTGTAAATAGAAACACACAGAATCAATTCAAATGCCCAGAAACCACATGCAATTATTTGGGAATTTCAGGGTGCAGATAATAACAACCGTTAACATTTGTTGAGATCTCGTTATGTGCCGGGCACTGTGCTAAAGCATTCTGCAGATGTAGTACCTATTACTACAGCATTCTGATAGGGTGGATGTTACGATCAGCCTTCATTTTCCAGATGTGGAAACTGAGGCAAAGGAAAATTAAGTCATTTGTGCAAGGCACAGAGCTGGAATTCAGATCCCAGGTCTGTCAAATCCAATCCCAGCCAGCCTTCCTTCTGTTGCTCCAAGGAGGAGTCCTACCCAGAACTGTTCCTGGCCCTGTGTGACAGCATTGATAAGACTCCTGGAAATTTGGGTTACTTCCTAGCCTCCACTTTCTACCTTCCCGTTTTCTCCTAATTTTCTCAATCTTTGTTGGGGTTTTCTCCTTGACACCTGGCCAATATAACCCTGCAGGATCTTCACTCAACAAAACATCGCAGTCAGGAGTGGGGCGGGTAATGAAAGCCTCCCACAGGTTTACAGGGTGGGGAGGGGACTCCCTGGCAGGTAGACTGCCATCTCCTCCACCTCGCTTTGAGGTAAACTTTGTTCTTTCCTGGTAATAATAATAAGATAAAGTATATTGAGGGCCTGCTGTTTGTGCATGCGCTGTTTTAAGTACTACTAATCCCTACAACTCCCCAATGGGGTACTCACCATGATAGAAATTTTACGTGCATATTGTAAAAAATGTGAATAACAGAGTATCTAAAGACTGCCACTGCTAAGATGGTGGTGTATTCCCTTCCAGTATTTTTGCCTAACATAAGCATTTTTAATATTTTTCTAGAGTGCCATGTCGTACATCCAATAAAGTTAAACTCTGCAAGCAAGAGAGAGAAGAGGAGAGAAAGGAGAGAATCTAAAGTGTGTGATTCTGTTTACCATTCCACAGAGTAAGTGGCTGCCTGGGAGTGAGTGTGAGAAGGGAGTGGGAGGAATCTTCTGTTCTTCCCTTGGACCTCAGTTCCAGGGAACTTTTCAGTGTGTAAACATCTTACCATGGACATTCTGGGTTTCAATTTAAAAATATGCACTTTTGGTTTGACATAATCTGTCACTGAAACCAGCTGCTTCAGCTGACGGTCAAACTAAGAGTCAAGGATTAACTGAACAGTTAGGGACACAGTGGCCGTGGCGAAACTTACTGAGAAATGGCCATCTCCCATGTAGCATTCTGCTAAGGGATTTCAAGGGCATTTTGACTTTTGACTTTTTTACCTGGTGTGCTGACTTGGCGAGCTAACCCCTGGGCAAGATGCCACTCAAGAAGCTACTCTGTTGTTTATAATTAAGACAACAGTTGAGGTGGCCCTGTACTTTGAGGTTTAAACAATAGTGACTTAAGCTCTTTCTCCTGTTTTCTGTGGGAAGTCCAGCTTGCTCACTGAGAGCCCCGCTGTCTCTGGGGCTGACAGTCCTGTGATTTGTTCTGGCTCCAGATGTCCACCCCCGAGGAGCTCTGAATTCATGGTCTCACATGAAGGGACGGCACCCTGCTCTCCCTATGCAAGTCACTGAGCTTCATGTCAAACTTGGCCTCTGTGTTTTGTTCCCACCAGGCCCTTCTCCCAAGAAAGGTACACGTGGCAAACTTTACTCAGTGTGGGGACTCAGGAGGGATTTTTAAAAAATCATAAAAATGCCAAGTTTAAAATTAGATCGTATTAGTGTTGCTTTCCTTAGAAGGAAGAAAAAAAGTTTAAAAATTAAAAGAAGAGATAAAATTAGATCTTATATATCTCTCTCCTAAAAAGTCCCTTAACAGCCTTGCTGTAGGGGATGTTGTTCTCACCGACCACTTTTCTTGGAAGATTCCAGCCTTCTACCTTGTTGTTTGCCTTCTCTGTCCATAAAACATTCAAATTCTCTCATTTATCCTAGAAGGCAATTTAGATCTACAGCCCCTACACAGTCCTAGACCTCTTTTCTGTATCTACTATTAAGTACCACTCACACCAAGGGTCACCCACTCTGAGTTTCAATCATTATTAATGAAGAAGAGAAAGTGGAGGCTTAGAAATTCCCATATTTTCTTCATGTCTCTCCACCAGTCTGCAAGTGAAATAGAGTCTGATAGAGATTTATTTTCTCATTGATATTAACTATGCTTCTCCTCTTAGAAGACAGAGGCATCTGCAGTCAGTGTCAAATATTTCCCACCCCACCATATATATATGAAATACATGGATTATGTTCTGTGGACAATTTGGTATCTTGTTTGTTTCAGTTACTATTGCTGCATAACAAATCATTCCAAACTTACAGGTTAATCAACAACAATTTATTGTGTCCACAGATTCTGCAGATCAGGGATTTGAGAGGATCATGGTATAATCACTTGTTTCTGTTCCATGATGTCTGGGGCCTCAAATGGGGAGATACAGAGGTTGGGGATGGCTTCGTGGATGAGGGCTAGAATTATTAAGAGGATTATCGCTTACATGCCTGGCAGTTGATGTAAGTCATCAGCTGAAATGTCAGCTGGGGACATCCACTGAAACACCTACTCATGGCCTGTCCACATGGTGCCTTGGGCCTCATCACAGCATGGTGCCTGGGTCCCAAGAGTGAGCATCTCAAGAGAGCAAGATGAAAGTGTATGGCATTTTAATGAGTCAGCCTTGAAAGTCACATAATGTTAGTTCTGCACTATTCTTGGTCAAGGCAGACACTAAGATCTGCCCAGCTTCAAGGGGAGGTGACAAAGACCCCATCATTTGATAGGAGAATTGTCAAGGTCACATTGTAATGAGAGCCTGTGATATGGGTGATGGTGTTTCTGCCATGTTGGAAAATGCAACCTGCTACACTGGTCTTTTCATTTAACGTATCATACCATTAAAATAATCCATCAACTCTGTGAATACATCCGTAGAACTTATTCATTTACTAATTCTTTAGTATAGGACTTTTCTCATCACTTCTCCATAAGAGAGAAGGAGGTATGGGTATTTTCCTTCCCTAAAACCAAGAGAGAGAGGCACAAAGAGAATTATTTGACAAGTGGGATTCCTATTACTCCAGTGTCGACTCCACTAATTTGGGGTCTGTTATCTTTCCTTTGATGGCTTTTGAGTCTTGTACCAGCAGGAGCACCTGATGCTGCTTAGGACATGGATATAGGGGTCTGTGACTTCTCAAGTGTGTCAAGGACACATACCTTTCCCCTGGGTCAAGGGAACACCTTGGAAAGTGGGACTTGAGCTGTTCTGCCATTATTCCCCAAGTGGGTTGCCCACTGGATGAGATGCCCCTGGCAGAAGGAAAGTGTTGGGAAGACTGTGGTTGGGGAGGAAAAGGAAAGGAAGCAGCTGGACCTCTAGCCAGGCCATCCATTTAGGTGAATATGCAGGGGATGGCCCTACAACATTCTCCAAAGAACCCAATGAATGAGCCCCATGAAGGAGCCACACGGCAGGAGTCAAAGCCCAGTCTGCATTATCCAGGAACCAGTAACCACTGAAATAAAAAGGATCAGCTCCTCATCATAAGCAGCTAAATGAGGAGACATCTCTGTCCTTCCCTCTTTCCATCCTGCCCTAACATCAGAGGGCATGTGCATAGGAGATGGCATGGTGAGAAGAGACCATACTCTTTCCCCCACAACCTTTAAGCAGCTTAGAAACTCAAGTCTAGGTTTGTTTATGTGTTTAGGCGTCACGAGGAAAAGAGAGTCATTATTTGAAAACAAGTTTCAAGTTTCTAAATGTATGGAACTGAATCCTACAGAAACAAAAATGTCACCGAATAACCCTAAATAACTGGAAATAAATGGAATTGCACTAAGATGATGTCAAGCACCATTAAAGAGGATTTGAGAACACACAGTTTGTGGCAATTTTGTGTTTGAAACAGTGGTAAGCTGAGACTCCTTGATAAACTAGGTACAATTGTAGTTATTGGGTATCAGCCTTTAAAAGACTTAATTCTTAGCCAAAATGCCCTTCCAGAAAGGCTGTGCTCTTCCCAGCTCCTTGAGGATGCCCACTTCACAGGATGACATTTATTCAGGCCTGGAGAGGTGCAATCTCATTATGTGGGTCATTAAAGGAAACGCATTAAAGGCAACAAAGGGAGTGTCGCCAAAAGACTTTGTAGCAAGTTAGGTGGAAGTGAGCAAGAGAACAGGACTGCCTCACTTACCTCTTGGGGGTGGCGAAGGATTATGTTTAGGTGGGGTGTATGAGTGTCTGGCTTTTTTTACCCACATTGACGGCCAAATTCTTTTCCCCTTCTGATTCCCTTTGAGAATCCACTTCCACTACCTGCTTCTTGCTGCAAACTGGGAGTGTAAAAAAGTGTAAAATCATACAGTCTAGGGTGTCACCCGAATTGCCCTCACATACAGCATAGCTGTGTGTGTAGAGCAGAAAGAGGTAGGGAGGGAAAGTCATGCTGAGCTCAGACTGAGAGAGAAGAGGGAATCAGAAAGATGGGCCATTTGAAAGCAAAACTGCCTTGAATTCTCTAAGAGGCTCTGTCTTGCAAACAAGAAGAGGAAGATAGGGTGAGAGGGGATGTTAGTTTTTAGCAACTGTTTTAAAACTGACAACAGAGGAAGAGAGACCAGAACCACAAAGTTAACATCTGCAACTTAGGCATCTTTTGATTTTTTTTAAAAAGTCCCCAATCTTAGGAGGGGCTGTCCTTGGGTGAAGGGTTCTGTTTTGAACTGGAGGGAGATCTGGGTGAAGCATGGATGAAGTATATATTCCCTTCCTCAAATCACTCTCCATCTGCATCACCTGATGTTGGAAATCCCCAGGGTTAGCTTTTTAAAATTTTTGGCTACATTATGAAGTTCATTTAATGCCTTCCACAATGGCATCTCAATTTACAGGTGAGCTAACTGAGGCTTGGAACAGTTAAGGCAATTAGTGCAAGCCTGTGCAGCTGGTGAAGCACATAGCCCCAGATTTGGACCTAGATCTGTCTGATTCTAAATTCTTTCTATCACATCAGTGGCCCCAGCAGATGCTCAGTCCTTTAGATTAAGTACCCTCTCCATCAACTGCGTTACACAGTTTCTTAAGCAAATAGCATGGAGGCTCAGACTATGGGCTTTGGAGTCAATAGGGCTTGAATTTAAATTTTGACTCCAGCCTTGATCGTTTGTGTGACTTTGGGCACACAACTCGAAGTCTACTCAAAAAAACTGTGAGGAGGATGTCCAGCAAAGCTGTGGTAAACGCTCTACTAGATTATTGTTATTGTTATTATTATTTTGAGATGGGGACTCTCTCTGTTGCCCAAGCTGGAGTGCAGTGACACGACCTTGGCTCACTGCAGCCTCAACCTCCTGGGCTCAAGCCATTCTCCTACCTCAGCCTCCCAAGTAGCTGGGATGACAGGTGCATGCCACCATGCCTGGCTAATTTTTTTTTTTTTTTTAAATAGAGATGGAGTTTCACTATGTTGCCCAGGCTAGTCTCAAATTCCTGGCCTCAAGAATCGATCCTCTCACCTAAGCCTCCTAAAGTCCTGGGATTACAAGTGTGAGCCACCACGTCTGGCCTATTGTTAAATTTTAAAAAGTTGTTGTCTCTCTTCGAGCCATGTGTGTGTGATGATAGAACAGGAGGGGGACAGATAACAATGATCAGAACACTAGCTAATACTTCTTGAGCACTTAGGACGCATCAGACACTGTGCAAAGTGTTTTCCATGGTACTATCTTAATCTTCCTAACAATTCAACGATATGTACCATTAGTCAACCTCAATGTGTAAATAAAAAGCACATCCAGCTACAAGTAGAGGAGCCAGGATCTGGATCTAGGTGGGTGAACTCTGGCGCCTGGGCTCACACCAGGAGGTAAGCTTGCAGGGGCCCTGTGGGACTTTGGGAGCAGATGGTGATGCTTAAGGAGGGTTGAGTAGGAGGCTGTGGTCCT